GCGCCGGGGGGGGAGTCAGCCGCGGCGCCAGGCAGCAGCTCGGGGGGGGATGCAGCCCGACGGCGGCCGGGCAGAGCCGTGTGGGGGAGCAGGTGCCGCGAATGGGCCAGTACGGAACGCCCAGACCAGCCAATTAATGCCAGCCCGTAGGAATGAAGACCGACGCAGGACAAGCAGCAAACGGCTGCACGGAGAAGTGCGTGGCACATGTTGATGCAATGGACCACACCAGTGGGGGAGCCGGCGGTGCTGGCGAACCCAGCGGCTAGGCCAAGCGCCGAGATCTGGTGACCTACGAGGCGCGATGGTAGACGGAAAAGGGCGGAGCGCTGGCCGCCACGAGCGCGCTGCGATTAGCGCGGCAAGAGCGGCTGGCGTGTAGCCGAAGGGCATGAGACAAAGATGCGGAGCCACGCCATCATGGGGGAGCGGCGTGGAGCTGGGAAGGGCCAGCAAGTGGGCGGGCGGGCGCCGAGATCTGGTGACCTTCGAGACGCGGGGAGGGGGATGGCAGTGCCAGGGTACCCAAGGTGAGGTACCGCGGGGGGAGCAGCGAGCGAGCAGGCCCACTGGCAGAACTGCCGAGGGGACCGCGTGCTGGCCTGAAAACCAGGCAAAGGGGGGAGGCGGGCAGGCCTGGGGGGGGGGCCAGAAGGCCAACCCACGGTCACTCCCATAATCTGTTCCGGCTCCACACGGGGGGGCCGCGGTGTGCGGCCGTGGGCTGTCTGCAGAAAGCGCAGAAGTGCGCCGGGCCCGGCGCGCCCAGCTCACTGTCGACCGCGTGCGGAGGAGAGCTTGTGTGGGGCACCCACTCGGCCCGCGGGGAGCCAGTGACGCCGTCGTGGAAGAGCATTCCGATGATCGCCATTGTGGCCAGACGACAGGTGGCGATGTCGGCCGCCAACTTCTTCTGCGGGCTCGTGACCGCGGCGGCGGCGCCGACCGGCCGGCGCCGAGGGGCGCCAGGCCAGGGGGCGCAACGGCGCCAGTGGCGCCGGCGGCGAAGGCAGCGGGCGCGCGCCGCTGTCGCCGCCGCCGCGCCGCGCGCGACTCCATGACCCAGGGGCGAGAGCCCAGAGGGGGGAGCGAGGCTCCCTCGCTGCCTTCGCCGGCGGCGGACCCGAGGCTGGGGGCAGGCCCTGGCCGCGCAAGCCTGGATGGCTCCCTGAGCGGCTTGAGCCAAGGCGGCTACGGACCCCGCGCGCGCGCGCCGGTCGGCGGGTGAGGTGCCTGAGCGGAGCGGGGGGCGACGCGCGACCGACAGTGGCGTGTTTTGAATTGAGATTCTCCTCACGGGGCTCGTACCTTGTTTTTCCATAAAAAATGCGGTCACCGAGCTGCGCTTGTGGACCCCGACAACAACAATGGCTTTCGCCTGATAGGTTCTCACGCTTAATTCCAACATTGCGCTCTCGCGCGGACGTCCTCACAATTTGCGCAAGAACCGCGCTCTCGCGTGGGACTTCCTCGCATTTTATTCAGATGCCGCGCCTTCGACGCTCAGGAATTGCGCTCTCGCTCTAGTTTATCTCGCGTTTCACTAGGGAATCGCGCTATCGCTTCAGATCTTCTCGCGATTCATGCAGTAAGCATGTTTTAGCAACCCGCCTGCTGGACTTGGCCGCTTGGGCCCGCCTTCCCGACCCGCCCGTTAGGGTTCACCCGCCCGATCAGTCCGTCTGGTTCTGCCGCGTGTTTTCTTGTCCTGGCCCCCCTCCTAATTCCGTGCTCGTTCTCATTCCCCCTTCCATCAATCTTCCCTCCCTTGTGTTAGGGGCTGCGCCAAATACGCGCGGCAGGCAAGGAAGATGTATCCCCAGAGGGGGTACGATCGAAAACGAAGAAGGCGGGTATCGAAGGATTGGGGTATACGTGTTGAATGGCATGCGGGCAGATCGGAGCGAACCGTCTTATTTTTATTTATACAGGTGCGGTTTTCTTTTGCGTGCTCGTTGTTTTGTTGTGTCTTGTGTGTTGTTGGTTTTTGTTGCGAATCTGTTTGTTTTATGCTGCGCGGACCAGAAGCGCATGATCGCAGCGTCAACATATTCCCCAATCAGAACTTTCTTTTGTAGGGGTCCTAGCGGATTGATTCCCCAATCAGAGCTTGCCTCCGTAGGGGTCCTGGCGGATTCATATGGTTAGGTTAGCTGCTCTGCCGATTTCCGCGGCCCGCCTGGGTGCCCAGGTGCCTGGGTGCCCGGTAGCCATATAGCCCAATAGCCCAATAGCCCCAAAGCCCTATAGCCCTATAGCCCTATAGCCATATAACCCTATAGCGCTATAGCCCTATAGCCCTATAGCCCTAAAACCCAATAGCCCTGTAGCCCTATTTCCTTATAGCCTGATAGCCATATAGCGCCATAGCCCTATAACCCTATAGCCCTACAGCCCGAATTATAGACCTATAGCCCTATGGCTCTATAGCTCAGCACTCTATAGCTCAGCATGCCTATAGCCCGATAGCCCCATAGCCCAATAGCCCTATGGCACTATAGCCCAACAGCCCGCTAGCCCTATAGCCCTATAGCCCTATAACCTTGTAACCCTATAGCTCTATCGCCCTAGAACCCTATGTCTCTACATCCCTATAGCCTTCTAGCCCGACAGCCCTATAGCCATATAGCCTTATAGTCCTACAGCTCAATAGCCCTATAGCCCCATCGCCCTATAGCCCTATGGCCTAACAGGCCAATAGCCCAATATCCCGATAGGCCTATCGCCCTATATCCCTGTAGCCCTATAGCCCTATAGCCGGATAGTCTGATAGCCCTATAGCCCTATAGCTCTATAGCCCTATAGCCCTATAGCCCTAGAGCTCTACATGCCTATAGCCCTATAGCCCTATATCCCTATAGCCCTATATCCCCATCGCCCTATAGCTCTATGGCCCTGTAGCCCTATAGCCCCATATCCCTATAGACTCGTAGCCCCATGGCCCTATAGCCATCTCGCCCCATAGCCCCAGAGCCCCAGAGCCCCATAGCCCTACAGCCCTACAGCCCTATAACCCAATGGGGCTATAGCCCTATAGCCCGATAGTCTATAGCCCTATAGACCTATGGCCCTATGGCTCTATAGCCCTATAGCCCCACAGCCCTACAGCACCATAGCCCCATCGTCCTATATCCCAATAACCCATAGCCCTATAGCCCTGAAAGGACTTTGATTTGTGTTTTCTCCGATATCATAAATTCCCCAATCAGAGCTTGCTTCTGGGTCCTAGCGGATTCATATGGTTTGGTCAGGTTTGTCACCGATTTCCGCGGCCTGCCTGGGTGCCCCTGTGTTCGGGTGCCCGGGTGCCCGGGTGCCCAGGTGCCCGGGTGCCTAGGTACCCGGGTGCCTTAAAGGCTTGCAGCCCTATAGTCCTATATCCCCATAGCCCTATAGTCCTATAGCCCCATAGTTCTATAGCCCGAAAGACCCATAGCCCTATGGCGCTATGGCCCTATAGCCCAATAGCCCAAGAGCCCAATACTCCTATAGTCGCCCTATAGTCCTATAGTCTTATTGCCATATAGCCCTATCGCCCTACAGCGCTACAGCCCTATAGCCCTATAGCTCTATCTGCCTATATTCCTGTAGCCCTATAGCCCCATGCCCCTATATCTCCATAGCCCTATAGCCCCATAGCCCTATATACTCATAGCCCTATGGCCCTATAGCCCCATAGCCCCATAGCCCTATAGCCCCGTAGCCCCATCGCCCTATAGCCCAATATCCCCATAGCCCTGTAGCCCTATAAGGACTTTGATTGAGCTTGCCTCTGTAGGGGTCCTAGCGGATTCATATGGTTAGGTGAGGTTTGCCACGGATTTCCGCGTCCCGCCCAGGTGCCGTGCCTGGGTGCCCCGGTGCCCGGGTGCCCGGGTGCCCGGGTGCCCGGGTGCTCGGGTGCCCGGGTGCCTTAGAGCCCTAGAGCCCTATAGCCCTATAGCTCTGTAGCCCTACAGCCCTATAGCCCTATAGCCCTATAGCCCTATAGCTCTGTAGCCCTATAGCCCTTTAGCCCCATAGCCCCATAGCCCTATAGTCCTATAGCCCTACAGCCCAATAGGCCTACAGCCCTATAGCCCTATAGCCTTATAGCCTTATGGCCCTATAGCCCTATCGCCCTAGAGTCCTACAGCTCTATAGCCCTATAGCCCTATAGCCCTATAGCCCTACAGCTCTATAGCCCTATGGCCATATAGCCTCATAGCCCTATGGCCCCATACCCCATAGCCCAATAGCCGAATATCCGAATAACCCTATAGCCCTATATCCCTATAGCCCTACAGCCCTATAGCCCTATAGTCGTATTTCCCTAAGGCCCTATAACCCTATAGCTCTATATGCCTATAGCCCTATAGCCTTATAGCCCCATAGCCCTATAACCCTAATGCCCTATAGCCCTATGGTCCCATAGCCCTATAATCCTATAGACTCATAGCCCTGTGGCCCTATAGCCCGATAGCTCCATGGCCCCATAGCCCCAGAGCCCTATAGCCCCAGTGCCCCATAGCCCTACAGCCCTATAGCCCTATGGCCCTATAGCCCTATAGCCCTATGGCCCTATAGCCCTATCCTATAGACTCATAGCCCTATGGCCCTATAGCCCTATAGCCCCATCGCCCCATAGCCCCAGAGCCCTATAGCCCCATAGCCCTACAGCCCTATAGCCCTATGGCCCTATACCCCTATTGCCCTATAGCCCCATGGAGCTATAGCCCTATGGCCCCATAGCCCGATAGCCTCATAGCCCTGTAGCCTCATAGCCCCATCGCCCTATAGCCCAATATCCCCATAGCCCTATATCCCTAGAAAGACTTTGATTGGGTTTTCTCCGGTATCATATCTATTTGTATATATATATATACATATACATGGAGGACGGACCCGGTCGAGGTAGCCCATACGCAGGCATGAACATCTCGCTACATCCGCCCTGTCCTCGCCCCTTCCTGGCTCGACGCCCCCCCCGTCCCCTCCCTCCGCTCCCGCCTCCGCGCCAGGCCAAGATCCTCTCCGAGATCGTCGCCATCGAGCGCGGGGAGGCGAGCGCACCTCTTTGCCCAACTGGAGGAGAGGAAGGAGCAGGAGGAGGAGGAGGAGGAGGAGGAGGAGGAGGAGGAGGAGGAGGAGGAGGAGGGAGGAGGAGGAGGAGGAGGAGGAGGAGGAGGAGGAGGAGGAAGGAGAGGAGGAGGAGGAGGAGGGAGGAGGTGAGGAGGAGGAGGAGGAGCAGGAGGAGGGAGGAGGAGCAGGATGCAGCAGGAGCAGGAGGGAGGGGAAGGATGAGGAGGAGGAGGAGGAGGAGGAGGGGGGAGGAGGAGGAGGATGAGGAGGTGGAGGAGGAGGAGAAGAGGAGGAGGAGGAGGAGGAGGAGGAGCTGAGGAGGAGAGGAGGGAGGAGGAGGAGTGTGTCTTTTTCCTCGCCTCTTGCACCATCGTGTTTCCTTCTGGGTGTCAGAGCTGTCAATCGGTAGGGTCAGAACGGAGGGTTTCTTCGAAGGGCTTAGGCGACCCGTCCTCCTCCTCTCTCCTCCTCCTCCTCCTCCGCATCCTCCTCCTCCTCCTTCCCCTCTTCCTCCTCCCTCCTCTCCTACTCCTCCTCCTCCTCCTCCTCCTCCTCCTCCTCTCCACATCTCTCCTCTACTCCCCCTCCCCCCTCCCCCCTCCCCCTCCTCCTTCTCCTCCTCCTCATCCTCCTCCTCCTCCTCCTCCTCCTCCTCCTCTCTCCTCTCCTCCTCCTCCTCCTCCTCCTCCTCCTCCTCCTCCTCCTCCTCGGGTCGCCTGCGGCCCCGGGGGAAACCGTGCAGGTCAGAACGTTCATGGATCCGCCCAGCGAGAGCCCCGTTTTTGAATAGGAGCAGCCCTGTATCCGTACGGCTGCTGTGCTGCTTTCTGTTCTGAGTCGTGATGGTCCTGCACGGAGGAAAGCTCCCGCGATATATCCACTATAGCAGGGTCTCCCGCATGTGCAGTGCAGTGGAAGTTTTTTTCATTGGTTCACAATCTACACATGCTGCTTAGGGTGTCCTGTCGCCAGGGTGTACTTTCGTTTTGCTGTCCGCTCCCGCCTCCCGCTTGTTCCCTCCCCGAAAGCCTGACGGCACGCGCGTGCGGCCCCCGTCGATATCCAGTATGCCAGCGGCGGGCCTCACGCAGGACCCCACGAGGGCTCCGCGGCTTCGCTCATTGGGCCCGAGGCGCTGGAAAGAGCGTCGCTCCGAGTTGTTCCGTGAGCGTTGGGATGGGGGTGGATTGCGCGGGCGGGGCAGGAATGGGCTGTATTTCGGGCGTATGTGTGTGCTGTGTGTGTGTTTGTGTCTCTGTGTCTCTGTGTGTCTGTGCGTGTGTGTGTGTGTGTGTGTGTGTGTGTGTGTGTGTGTGTTTGTGTATGTGTGTGTAGTGTGCGTGACTTTTCGCTCACGCTCGGTCAGGTCGACGAGCGACCACGTCGGCGACGACGAGTTACGACTACGACGAGCGACGGCCACGACGACGACGAGAGACGACGAGTGGAGACGGACGACGATCATGACGTGGACGACGGCGAAAAGGGACGACGACGACGACCATGGACGACGATGAAGAGCGACGACGACGACACGAAGGCAATGAAGACGCTGGAGATGACGACGACGGGCGACGACGACGATGATTATCATTGTTGACAAGCGACGACACGACGACGAAGACGACAAACACGAGTGACTCCGATGGGTGTCGACGACCAGGAACGAGTGACGACGAGAGACGACGACGTCGAGTCACCACGACGACCACGAACGACGGCTGCCAGAGGAGCGACTACCAGAGGAGTCCCGACGATGACAGCGAGGTACGACGACGAAGAGTGGCGACGACGATGACGACAAGTCACGAATGCCGACGAGCACGACGGGAACGACCGCGTCTACGAAGAGGACTGGTGACAAGCGGAGTTCAGTCGCGACGACTGCGGCGAGAACAACGACGATGATGGGAGCTGATGACGACGACGCCCAGCGACGATGACCAGCGACGACAACGAACGACAATAACGACGAGTCACCGAGGAAGACGAGCGACGACGACGAATACATCAACGAATCACGACGGCGACGAGCGACGACGACGTCGACAACGAGTGACGACGACAACGAGTGACGACGACAACGAGTGACGACGAAAAGTGACGACGAAAAGTGACGACGACGAGATGAGCGACGACGACGACGAGTGATGATGCGACGATGACGATCACGACAACGACGAGCACGACGATAACGACCAGCACGACGACGCGAAGTCCGAATCAAATGAACAACAAACGCAGGCAGCGTAACCCTGGAAGTCCGATCGTAGTAACTCCAAGCACCTGTGATCCAATGTGCAAGTCCACTCCACTGAAGACAAACGCAATAGTTGGACGAATGCGCCTGAGAGCCACTAGCAAATTTAGAGCAGATGTGGGCAATTCCAAGCAGGCCTTCGGACACGCGTACTGTCGGACCGAGGTATAAGGTCGAGGTCGGTTCGGGGAGGGTACCCTCGTGTTTCTCGTGTTTGTTGGAGGGTACCTTGGCTGTTCTGTTTCTTTTGGCCGACGGAGGGTCCCATGTTCTTGAGGGATGTTCTTCAGGCCCGGATGCGACTGCAGAGATGGGGGGAGGGAAACGGAAGAGGGTGCGAGGGACAATAACCAAAACGGAGGGGTAGACACATAAAGGGCCTCCCACCCGAGAGAGCGAGGCAGGATACCCTGGAGCACTGGCACGCTTTGGGTCTGGCGGCCGCGGCATGCAGCTGGCACTCGTCGAAGTCAGGAGGCGGGTATTTTCTTTGAGTCCGACAGCCCCAACCTGTCGGGCGGGGCAGGTAACTCCTCCTCCTCCTCCTTTTCCTCCCCCTCCGCCTCCTCCCCCTCCTTCCTCCTCCTCCTCCTCCTCCTTCTTCTCCTCCTCCTCCTCCTCCTCCTCCTCCTCCTCCTCCCCGTCCCCCTCCTTCTCCTCCTCCTCCTCCTTCTCCTCCTTCTCCTTCTCCTCCTCCTCCTCCTCCAGATTCACCGCTCCCACGACATCGGCATTGCGTCGGCTCCCCAGGGGGCGACGCGCGCGCTTAGGAATCCCTGCAGCATATGCCCTGCGGCGGGCGCTGTCTGGCCGTACCGCCCAGGTAGCGATATGCCATAAGATGTTGCGCGCCTCCAAGGGGGGCGTACAGTACTAGCATGCCCTTGTGCGTTTCACCAGTTTTCGTCCCTTGAGCACCGCCTCCCACGACTCCGGACGATCGGGACCCTCGTTGATGTTAAAAACGCCTGGGGCCGGGGGCGTTGTTCTATCTATATTGTTGTGTTCCCAACCATCCTGTGGTGTTGGGTCCTCGTTTTGAGGAGACGGTCCCCGCGTTCCTCCTCTCCTCTCATCCTCCTCCTCCCCCACCTCCTCCTCCTCCTCCTCCCTCCTCCCTGCGTTTCGCCCACCCAGTACAGCGTTTCGTGGCCCATAGGGAGCTCCACCGAAGGCCCCAGTGGCTGCGCTCGCATGACACCACCGCGCCCATTTTGGTACACCCCTCATACTTTTCGTGGCCCCATAGAGTGCTCCACCAAAGGCCCCAGTGGTGCGCTCGCATGACACCACCGCACCCATTTCGGTACACCGCTCATATGTTTCGTGGCCCCATAGGGAGCTCCACCGAAAGCCTCAGTTGCTGCGCTCGCATGGCACCACCGCACCCGTTTCGGCAAACCCCTCACACGTTTCGTGACCCCATGGGGAGCTCCACCAAAGGCCCCAGTGGCTGCGCTCGCAGAGCTCGCATGGCACCGCCGCACCCATTTCGGTACACCGCTCACGTGTTTCGTGGCCCCATGGGGAGCTCCACCGAAAGCCTCAGTTGCTGCGCTCGCATGACACCACCGTGCCCGTTTCGGCAAACCCCTCACACGTTTCGTGGCCCCATGAGGAGCTCCACCGAAGGCCCCAGTGGCTGCGCTCGCATGACACCACCGCGCCCATTGCGGCACACCTCTCACACGTTTCGTGGCCCCATAGGGAGCTCCACCAAAGGCCCCAGTGGCTGCGCTCGCATGACAACACCGCGCCCACGTCGGCACACCCCTCACATGTTTCATGGCCTCATAGGGAGCTCCACCGAAGACCCCAGTGGCTGCGCTCGCATGATACCACCGCACCTATTTCGGCACGCCTCTCACACGTTTCGTGGCCCCATGGGGAGCTCCACCGAGGGCCCCAGTGGCTGCGCTCGCATGACGCATGTCTGCACACCTCTCACACGTTTCGTGGCCCCATGGGGAGCTCCACCGAAGGCCCCAGTGGCTGCGCTCGCATGACACCACCGCGACTAGGAGCTCAACCGAAGACGATACCAACACTTGCGTTACTCACAACTGCATATGGTTGGGTCCCTCGCCAGGACAACATCTTTTTTAAGGTTATCGGTTTTGGCCAACCCATACAGAAATGCACGGCAGCCCCAAAGAGGCAACAAACGGCAGAACAGAACGGTCTCGCACCGAATGTGGCGCGACTTATTATCCCCAAACGGACAAGAGAACGGACGCCAACACGAAAATAAGAACACGTCGATCTGGAGAACGGGGGGAAAACCTAGCGTGTTTTACCACCATCCGAGATCGGGGCCATCGGGACGATCCGGGCACCCCTGGCACGCTCGGAAGGGCGCGGCTGCCTGAGAGCATCCAGGGGCAGGAGAGCCTCCTGGAGCCGAAGATGAGCGTTCGAAAGCGCTGCCCCCACCAACGACCTCGCCTTCTCCCCTCCAGTGTCATCTTCCGAGGCCCTCTGATGACCCCAGGTTCAGAATCGGCGCTGGTATATCCCTAGCCGGAAGATGGGCCGAATCTCAGTGAGTCCTGATTCATCCGGCGAAATCCCGCTTGACCCGGCTTCATCCCGTGCACTCCAGCTTAATCTCGGGCTTACTCTGACAAACTCGGGTTCCATGGCTCCGCAATCGGGCTTAAATAGCCCTGAATCGTTCCGACGAAGACCGCCCAGGAGTTGCCTCCCAATCCAGGTTTGCGCCGCTTCCACAACTCCCGCCCCGCGCCTCTGCGCACGCCTGCTCCCGAGCAGAAGAGGAGGAGGATGAGGAGGAGAAGGAGGAGGAGGCGGAGGAGGAGGATGAGGTGGAGGAGGAGGCGGATGAGGATGAGGATGAGGATGAGGATGATGAGGATGAGGATGAGGATGAGGATGAGGAGGAGGAGGAGGAAGAGGAGGCGGAAGGAGGAGGAGGCGGAGGATGATGATGATGTTGATGATGATGATCAGGAGGAGGAGGAGGAAGAGGATGATGATGATGATGCTGATGATGATGATGATGATGCTGGTAATGATGATGATGATGACGATGATGATGCTGATGATGATGATGCTGATGATGAGGAGGATGATGATGATGATGCTGATGATGCTGCTGCTGATGATGATGATGATCATGATGATCATGATGATGACGA